GGGTACGTAGCACATCCAGGCACTTGCAGCAGAGGGGCTATGACGGTTAGGAATGTGAGCTTAGCAAATCTTGCAAAAGAAATATAGCGAGAGAGTGGGTGTAGTAGTTATTCGAGAAGGATGAGCTCGCTAGATGCACAAGATGTAGTAAAGAGCTATGATGGGATACACTAGTGAACGCATCCTTGTTGGAAATTAAAGTCAGGTGTTACCATAGAGGATGGCTGGATGGAAAAATGGCTCATGCTGGTGCTGATTTATTGTGAGAGAAAAATACTGTTATTTTGCTGAAACGGTACGGCTGATAAGTTCAAATGAACAGAGCCTTTAGTAAGAATGATGACGAGTACCGCATGTGTTACTATAGCATCTATAGAGAGGAGGTGGTCAGTTTGTAGGGCGCTCAGCAGGGAAGGGTTAAACTTTGAGTAATCATAGTCCTTACTAAGACACATGTGTTATAGCAACCACAGAAAAGTAGGATGCTTGCAAGCCGTCTTTGTAAGTAGCATGTAGCGCTTAGAACAGAATCTCAGTCTACTCTCAAAACCTAGAAAGCGCCACCAGGTGCCATCTCGTGACCAAATCTAGGCGCAACCTGCATCTGAAACAACATTATCCTTTATTCCCTGAGTTTGATATAAACCTTAGAATACTTCTAGGGAATAACAACATGTGAGCAATTTGAGGTGCACCATGCGGATCTCACGCGGGATGCACAATCAGGGACGATTTCAGGTGGCGAGCGCAAGAATGTGGCGACTGGCGGGGAAGTTTGGCGCATGCTCATCCACACCCAAAATAAGAAGGCAAAGGAGGAAGACCGGCTGGACTCACTACTACACGGCTACACCTAGGCTTTTTAGGGGCAGCTGATAAGCATATGTAAGGACGGTTTTGCCAGCCGTCCTCTACGGAAGCGTTGCTACAAAACGTTGATTTATAGGGGCGGTTGCTAATGATTTGTAGGGGTGGCTGGATATAGAACCGCCCCTACAATCATTTTTCATAAATTATCGAATCTGGGCAAAAAAAAAAAAAGCAAAAAAGTTGTGGCATTTTTCATGCAAATCCTTTTCCTGAAATTATCAAATTTTGACCAAAAAAATAGCAAAAAGTCGCAGCATTTTTCATGCAATCGAACCCACAAACTCCCAGTTACATGTACCCACCTCTACCACTACACCTCACACTCACTTGTGTTTATATTGGATTTTCTTTCCCCACGTATTATCATAAACCGAGTTTAAATTGATTGTTTGAGGCCCTAAACGAATTCAAATGAAAAAGTTGTCAGCTATAAAGTTGCATAACCTTTTGAGATCTACAACTTTTATTTTGGTAGTTTCTTCATCCAAGATTATTTACAAAATTTGAATTTCAAATTTGAGAAATTCAAATATAGTTTTTCTTGACAAGATAATCTCAAATCAAAAAGTTGTCAACTATGAAGTTGTATAAATTTTTTAGATCTATAACTTTCAAATTTGAGAAATTCAAACGTAGTTTTTCTTGACAAAATGATTTCAAATGAAAAAGTTGTCAACTACAAAGTTCAATAACTTTTCGAGATCTACAACTTTCATTTTGATCATCTTTTCATGTGACTTTGCTTTATGACTTCAAAATTTGAATTTAAAAAAATGTCAACTTGAAACAATATTTTGAAAAGTAAATGATTTCAAATCAAAAAGTCATCAACATAAAAGTTATAGAACTCATCAAGATCTACAACTATTATTTTTGTCATTTATTTATCCGACAAAGGAGTACTATATATTGTTCATAAATTTACATCTCTCTCTTATAGTCTCGTAAACTATAACAGAGATATGTAAAATTTATGAACAATATTACTATCATTTTAGTGGATGAAGAAATGATCAAAATAAAAGTTGTAGATTTTGATCAGTTCTACAACTTTTGTGTTCATGAGTTTTTCAGTTGAAATCATTTACTGCTTCAAAATATTGTTTGAAGTTACTATTTTTTTAAATTCAAATTTTGAATTGATAAAACAAAGTCACATTAAAAGATGGCTCAAATAATAGCTGTAAGAACACAATAAATTGGTAGAGCAAGATTTTAGAAAATTTTAGCAAAAAATCATCAGATTTGAAGTTAGTATGAGGGAGAAAGACTAATTACAAGTTTTAGCCAGAGATTAAAAAGAGAAATCATAGTTCTTCAACAATTTAAAAGTTGAATTTCAAACAGCATTTTAAAGCAGTAAATGATTTTAAATAAAAAGTTGTAAACAACAACGTTCTATAACATTTCAAGATCTACAACTTTTATTTTGATCATTTCTCCATCCGATGTCGTTTGAAAAATTCAAATTTTAGTACTTAATTTTTACTATTCAGCGTCTATTTGTAGTGCGGCTCTATATACAAATCGAATTTGTAGAGGCGAGCTGGACATAGAGCCGCCCCTACAAAAATAGGGTCATTTGGCCCTATAAATGAATTTGTAAGGGCGGCTCGCTTGGGAACCATTTGTGGTAGAGCCGCCCTAAAAAAAGAAGGCGCTGTTTCAAATCATTTGCGTAGTACTGGCTGCAAAGGGATAGAGACAAAGGAGGTGTGCGTTGGGTTGTCTAGAAGAGAGAACGTTCTTCAGCCTAGGGACAATATTAAAGAAATTCAAAGAAAAAGAAGAAGTGGAAAACAAAATAGATTTGTTGACCATGACAATTTTGGCATAGAACGGGGATGTGACTTTCAAATAGTTTCAAATTTGAATGAGATTATAAATGGAGTTAGATTTAGACGGGGTTCAAAAGAAGTTATGCGCGCAAGAATGTGGTTATGAGGCATACTTATGCGCGCACATATGTGAAAGTTTAATGCACATCTTGGATCTGAAAATAAATTTATAGCTATAAACCATATCACGTTATTTAGGTTTGTAAACTTTTGGTGGAATATAAATTAAATGACACTAAAAATGAGGATGTTACATTGTGAGCGGAGTGCTCTGTACTTCTTGGGCTATCGGGGCCTAGGGAACATGTGTGGATCACCGACAATGTCAAAGACCTTCGAACTTGGTGCGGAGAGGCTTTGGTTAATGTAGACGAGGGGTGAGGAGACTCCCTCCACAGTGGATGGTACCAAGGTGTCCAGAAGAGAAAGGCAACTCGTGAAAAAATGTACCTAGCTTGAAATAAACGTTAAGAGCTAAGCTTATTGTTAGCTCCATATTATGAAAACAAGGCGTTTTTAGCCCTAACTCATCCAAACGCACGCCACGCTTGCTTCTCTTTCACATATCTGCCATGTTCGCTTGGCTGATAAGCCAGGCTGATTTATTGTGAGAGAAAAATTTTGTTCGTTGACTGAAAAATACGGCTTATAAGCCAAGCGAATAGGACGATCCATCTCAGAAGCCATGTGCATGATGTTGGAGGAGAGCCCTTGCCCTGTGTCAGGCTTTGTTGAGGGGGCTCCACCATGCGGCGTGTTAGGCGGCCTAAGCCAGGTGTTTAGGGATGACCTCGTCAGGTGATAGGTCTTAGCGTATGAGAAGATCTGAGCCGGGCATTTGGGGATGACCTCACTAGGGAATAGGTGGTGGCGTGAACACCCATCGAGGTGCCCACGTGGCCTAGCCGCTTTGTTGTCCTCACCCCAACACTGCTGAAGGGTAATGGTAGAGTGTAGGAAACTGATGCCATTTAACCGTGCTTCTACCCAGTGAACAGGGGTAATGGCGAGAGAGAGAAGCCAACAACCCTACACTCCATAAGGAAAAGCTCATCCCCAACCCCAAGTCACTATTCCAGCCATCTCGCCGCTTCAAGACACGTAGATCTAGCCGACCGAACTCATTGTGCTAGGGCTCATCAGATCAACCTATGCTCGGACCTGGCCGCCTTTTCTACATGCTCAATGGAGTGAAGCTTGTGTACGTTGTGACTATAACAAAAACTAGACCTAAGAAGGGAGTCATTATAGAAGAAAGAAAGAAAACGAACAATGAGAGACAAAAGTTATTGTAGTTTGTTGTTATTAGAGATGTACTGCTTCTATTATAAATTATAATACATTTTGACTTTACTAGATACATTATTTTTATTATATATTTAGATATAATGTATATCTAAGTGTATAACAAAAGCTTCGTACTTTAAAAAAAAAAAATAAAAATATCTTATAATTTAGAATAGAGAGAATGTCATATATCGCAACTATTATTTAAGATTTAAATGCGGTGGCTAGTTTTTAGCTAGAAATGGTTATAATGCTGATATGGGTATCGGCACCTTTACCCGCGGTCGACCGTGTCTAGGAGAGCAAGTGGCCAAACGCCACCTCTGACGCCCGGCCGGCGGGATCCGAGAAAATGGAAAGCAAGCGGCTATTGCTATAAGCCATCAGATTAGGAAGCGATCCATCCATCACTCGGGTCCTCGACAAACAAAGCCACCCGCGCCACCATCCCAAGCAGATCGACTGACCACCACGGGCGCCGCCATGTCCGCCGCTGACGCGGCGCTGACACTGGCGTTCGTGGGCGTCACGGGGTTCTGGCTCTTCTTTCCGCCGATCACGAGGCCCGGCGCCGACAAGCATGTGATCGCGGAGTCCGAGGCCATGGTCGCGTTCCTGCGGGACGCCGCGGGCTTGGCAGTCCACTCCGCCTGGTCAATCTTGTGAAGCCGGTCCTAAACTGTGTGCCGGATGGGTGCGGTGCGCGTCCAGCGTGCTTGTCTCCGAGGTTTATGTTTGTGGCATGAAAAGTGAGCATCTGTTTGCACGTTTCTCGTGGGATGGTGAAAAGTTCAGAAATGTTCTTGCAAACTCTGATGAGCAAAAAAATCTAGATGAAAAATGTAGTTTTTTAGATAATGTACAACTTTGTAGTTGATGACCTTTTTATTTGAAAATCATTTATATGTCTAACTAAACTAATCATCCAAGATTACTTGCACATATTGACAGGCCAGTTCTTCCTAGTTTGTTATACATAGAACATCACCTAAAAATGAAGTTTGTTTACTTAGGACTAAGGCACGGCGACCTACCCTGTTGCAACTTCATCAGGTTGTAGTACATCCCTCCACGTCCGGCGGCGATGAGCTCCGCGTGCCGCCCTCTCTCCACCACCTTGCCGCCCTTCACCACCGCAATCATGTCGACCTTCTGCACCGTGGAGAGGCGGTGCGCCACGACCACACACGTCCTCCCCTGCAGCATCCTGTCGATAGCGTCCTGCACCAGCCTCTCCGACACGGTGTCCAGCGCGCTCGTCGCCTCGTCCAGCAGCAGGACCCGCGCGTTCTTCAGTATCGCACGCGCCAGCGCGATCCGCTGCCTCTGCCCGCCGGACAGCTGCGCCCCTCGCTCCCCGACGCGCGCGTCGTAGCCACCCTCCATCGCGCTGCGACACGGACGGAATCAAGAAGCTCCAGTTTCAGGTGAAGAATCGAACAAAGACATGCACAACCAGCTGAAGAATCTGTACCTGATGAACTCGTGGGCGTTGGCAAGCTTGGCGGCGCTGGTCACCTCGTCCTCGGTGGCGTGCTCGTCGCCGTACATTATGTTGTCCCGGATGGTGCCGGAGAACAGTGTCGGCTCCTGGCTGACGAGCGCGATGTGCGATCGGAGGTGCGCCAGGCTCCAGCTCCTGATGTCCCTGCCATCGATCAGCACCGAGCCTTTCTGCACGTCGTAGAAGCGCTCCATCAGGCCGATCACCGTGGACTTGCCGGATCCGCTCGGCCCGACGAGCGCTACCGTCTTCCCCGCGCCTATCTCGAGGCTGAACCCATGGAGCACGCTCATCTCCGGCCGCATCGGGTAGCAGAAGTGCACGTTCCTGAACTCGATCGCGCCTTTCATCTCCTTGTGCTGCTGCTTCCTCTTCTTCTTCTTCGGTTCGCTGGCTTCGTCGCCGTCGTCCTTGATCATCGGTTCACGGTCCAGCGTGTCGAGGATGGACCGCACGGCGTCACCGCCCTTGGCTAGGTCGGACGTCAAGCTGCCGGCGTCGGCGATCACCCTTCCCATGGTCATGAGCATGAAGAACACCTGGAACAGGTGCTTGGGGGTGATGAGGCCCTTGGCCATGAGCCTGCCTCCGTACCACAGCGCAAGCGCCATGCTGCCCGTGTTGCTGAACTGGCACAGGGACAGGCAGAAGCCGGAGTACCACGACTCCACCCTGTTGTCCTTCCGCGGCGCCTCCTGCGCGGCCTCGTACAGGCGGAGCATCCGACGCTGCGACGAGAACGCGGTGATCGTCCGGTGGTTCACGACAGCCTCGCTGGCGAGCTGGCTCCCTTGCACCTGCGCCTTCTTGGCCTTCTTGGACATGGCGGTCATGAGCACCTTCTTGAAGTAGAAGCTCGCGATTATCAGCGGCTGCATCGCCATCATGACCACCGCGAGCCGCCACGACACTGCGAGCGCCAGAGAGAAACCTAGCGCCGCATTGGCGGCCGCCTGCACCAGGAGGCACATGCGGTCGCCGACGAGGGAGCGGACCTTGGTGGCCTGCGTGGCCAGCCGCGCGCTCACCGCGGCGCTTGAGTTCTCGTCCTCATCGAACCACCCGACCTCGAAGGAGAGTATCTTGGCGAACATCTGTCCACGGACGCGCTCTGTCAGGCGCTCGCCCATGACGGCGAAGTTGTAGTGCTGCACGATGTTCGCCGTGATGCAGACGATGGCAATGCCGAAGAAGACGAGGGAGTACAGCCTGTTCAGAACAGAGTTCAGACAAACGTCACTAACATCACCGTGGCACTGCAATCTGTATCAGCGAGCACAGACGGACACATCGCACGTTACCTGGTCTTTGTACGGATGAGGTGATCGTCGCCGAGAAAATACACCTCCGGCAAAGCTCCGAGGCTGTAAGAGTAGAGCGGCAGCACCGCACCGAAAACGATGGCGCCGGCGCACCCGAGCAGAGCTTGCTTCCATTCCGGCCGATTCATCTTGAGCAGGCGGAGCTGGGAAGGCTTTCTGCCGCGCGCCGGGTCGTGGCCGTCGCGCTCGTGGTCTTCCATTTCCACGGAGCGTTCGACCGACCTGAACGATGTCACCGGGCTTGGGTGGAAGTCGCTGGGCACCGACATGATCTCAACGCTACGGAACGACACCCTGCTGCTCTCCGGCTCTACCTCCACCACCCGCTGGCGTTCCTCCGTCGCCACGGACGCCTTCTGCAGCAGCGCCATCCGTGCGTAGACGCCGCCGCCTTCGCCGGCCTCCGTGCCAAGGAGGAGCTCGTCGTGCGTGCCGCACTCCACCACGCGGCCCGCGTCGAGCACGGCGATCATGTCGGCCTTGCGGATGGTGGAGAGGCGGTGCGCCACGACGACGGTCGTCCGGCCCACGGACGCCCGGTCCAGCGCGTCCTGCACCGCGCGCTCCGACTCGGAGTCCAGCGCGCTGGTCGCCTCGTCGAGGAGCAGGATTTTGGGGTCCCTGATGAGCGCGCGGGCGATGGCGATGCGCTGCTTCTGTCCTCCCGATAGCTGCGTCCCGAACTGCCCGACCTGCAAGTGCAAGCAGTTTCATTTACTGAACTGTGATCAAACTGCTAGTTCATTTTGTGGCCAGAATTTGAAATGTCTGCATACATTGGTTTCGTATCCATGGGGCAATTTGGTGATGAAATCGTGAGCGTTGGCCATCTTCGCCGCCACGACGACTTGCTTCAGCGAGGCCGCCTCGTTGCCGAACAGAATGTTCTCCCTGATGGACGTGGCGAACAGCACAGGCTCCTGGCTCACGAGGCCGATCTGGCTCCTGAGCCACTCCACGTTGAGCGTGCCAATGTCACTGCCGTCCAGCAGTATCTCGCCCGAGTCCTGGATGTAGAACCTCTGCAGCAAGGAGATGATAGTGGACTTCCCGGACCCGCTCCCGCCGACGAGGCCGACGGTGGCGCCCTCAGAGATGGTGAGGCTCACGCCGTCGAGCACCCGCGTGTCAGGCCTGGACGGGTACGAGAAATGCACGTCCCTGAACGTGATCTGCCCCCTGATGCTCTCCTTGGTGGCGCCCTTCTTGCCCTCCGTCTCGAGAGGCTGCAGCCTGTCGATCATCTCACGCATCCGTGCTGCCGCCATCGCGGCGTCGACGAAGTAACGCAGGTTTGGTAGAGCCATCATGATGGACCTGGAAACCTCAGAGCAGTGCAATCAGGCTAGCCGCATGCATGCAGTTATCTGATTTTTTCTGAGAATGAACAAGGCATATATATATGAGGAATCGCGACGTGCTTGATTACATTCCGGCCAAGATGATGCAGATGGAGGCGACGAAGACGTGCCCGCCCTGCGCGTGGAAACGGATGACCAGGACGCTGCCGATCCAGGACATGAAGGACCAGACGGCGTACATGATGCCCAGGCTCCCGATGACGGCGCCCTTGATGAGCCCCTGCTTGATGCCGAGCGCCGTGCTCCGGGCCAGGGCCCGCCCGAACCGCTCCAGCGTCTGCCGCTCCCCGCGGTACGACACCACGGTGCGGATGGACGACACCGCCTGCTCGGCGACGCCGCCGGCCTCCTCGTACGCCGCGCGCGCCTCCCCCGCCGCGGCGGCCATGCGTTTGGCCAGGACCACGCTCGGGGCCACGAAGAGGAGCGTGAACGGGAGGCCCGCCAGCGCGAGCCGCCACGCGAAGACGAAGGACACGACCAGCGCGCCGAAGAAGAGCGTCATGTTCGCCAGGACGTTGGGCAGCTGCAACATGGATGAGGAGAGATTAAGCGGCCCGGCCCGGCATCGGCGTGCATGCAAGTGCAGGGCACAAGGAGAGATGGAGAGACCTTCTCGGCGAGGAAGTCCTGGATGGTGTCAGCGTCGTCGGAGATTGTGGAGATGACCCGGAACGTGGTGGCCTGCGAAGAGGACGGCCCGGACGTGTCGAAGAACTCCACCTGCTGCCGCAGGACGGCCTCCAGGTACAGCCGCCTCATCCTGGACGCCTGCCGCTCCGCGGTCTGCGTCCAGCACAGCCCCTCTACAAACATTTTGACAGCGTCAATGGGTGGCTAAAAAGTTGCAGAAGATCGACGCCGCTAGGTAAAAAATTGGAAACTGCTACCCGTTTGCTGCTCTGCTCACCTAGGAACGTGCAGGCGCCGACGGCAACCGCGACGTACAGCAACCGAAGCGCAAACTGCAGCAAGTGCGCGCGAGCAACATTCGTTCAGAGGGCTGCCCATGCCGGCAAATGTGACAGGGGAATGTACGTTGGTGGCTGAGAACTTACCTTGTCGACGGCGCTGGAGCTGAAGGCGCTGTCGGCGGTCCCGGCGCCGCCGTAGCTGTTGACGATGTCGCCGAGCACGAGCATGGAGAGCGGCTGCATCATGCCGTCGCCGAAGCTGCCCAGCGCGCCCAGCGCCATGAGGCACCGGTCCCGTGTGTCGGCGTAGCGGACCAGCTCCAGAACTGAGGCCTTCTCCCTGGCCGCGGCCATCGTGCCTGCCCGCGAGCGCCAACCAGACTCGCTCACGAAGTCACCTCAGCCCCCGATGGTCCCTGTGTGTGTGTGAAGTGGACAACCTGTGCTTAACTGCTCATTGCGTTCTGGACTCGGGGGATCGGATGGAGACGATGCAATCAGACGGAAACAGCTAGTGGTCGACTGACTGCCACTGCAGGCTGCATGCTCCAATCGGATGGCGTGCTCAGGGGAGCCTCTTGTCACCTAGTCTCGCGTCGCGCGGAGGTTTTCAAGTGCGGAATATGCTAAGGCGGAAGGGGACGTCTCATCGATCGGGCAAGCTTATGCTTATTCCTCCGCGGCCGGATGGATAGGTTCGGTGCGCGCGGGGCTTGTCCCGGGCGATACGGCCAAACCGAGCCTGTGGAAGAACAGACGAGAATATATGTGAGACTGTGCCGCGGCCTCGTCTCACCTAATAACTGTGATCGATCGGAGTCATCGAGCTTACTTCACCTCGTTCATCAGAATGTTCATGGGCCTAATAGTATTATTCTGTAGATTATATCATACAAACTATGCATCTAATATAAAAGAAATCCAAGTGTGCACAGTGGGATACATAGATTATATCATAATGAGAAGCCAAACATGTTTTTAGGGGAGGTTGTTATAGAGCAGGGACGGTTGTCCTAAAGCGACTATCCCTGAAAACGTATTCTCAAGAGCAAATTTCTTAAGAAAACCGCCCTTAGATAGAAGTCCTAAAGCGACTATCCTTGAAAAACGTATTTTCAAGAGCAAATTTCTTAACAAAACCGCGTTTAGAAATGATTTTTTTCAGGAACAGTTAAATGTTCAACACTAGAAAGACCCTATCTTTATCATCGGTGTCGTAGTATCGGTCTTATGAACCACCCCTGGAGATCGTTTCTTGACTGTCTACAAAAAAATAGTCGTTTGTCACACTGAGCCTTTGTCCATCATATGTATTCTACCATGTTAGTTCTGTTCTGTAGGACCTAGGGTCAAATGGCCTATCCCTTTCTTGGCTTTTTCTCTTTTTTTTTTCTTTCTTTTAGGTGATGGGAAAGACAAAAACGCACCGTGATTTTTTTTTTTTAAAAAAGATGACATATGCTTTGTTCTCTTTAAATAACTATACGTGTCCATCACTAAACATCATTTTGATTATTATAACTGTACCGGTAAAAGTGAAGTAACATGTATCATGCATGGACACGCAGTTACAAGTACTATAATTTTTATCTTCCTCTTTCCCAGTTACTAGTAACTATCACGCGTAGAGCACCGATAACAGTATAACACCAGTAACAGTTTCTAGATTTTTACAATCCACATGACCTGGTTAGAATTAATAAATAAAATCTAAAAATCTGCTCTTTTTCTCCCTGCTTCGTTTATTAGATTGTAATTGTAACACCCTCCAAGTTACAATCCATAATAATATGCGAGACGGCGCACTCCGATCTCGGCTGCGATGGCGAGGACGACAAGCTTATTTGCTGGCTTATAAGTCACAGTATAATACTTTTCTCTTAAAAAAACCAGCCATATAAATCAGTGTCAGCGGCTTTTCGACCAGCCGAACCCTCCAAACGTAGCTGAAGCGCCGCTGAATACTTTCACGTTCTGAATAACGCCAGCTGCACTCCGCGGCCAACAGGCACGCCAGCCAAAGCAACGCGCGAGCCAGTGGGCGGCGATGCTTCCAGAACCAGTAGCAAGCGGCGGCGGCGCCCGCATCCTCCTGTGACTGCTGCATCTTCTTCTCGTCGGCGACCAGGGTCTCGGCAGCTTCTTGCGCGCCACGGTCGCCGCGTGCTTCGTGCGCATGCGCTAGCGACTCCCCGTGATGATCCATCGGCCCCCGCCCCTCTTCTTCCATGATTAGTCTTGACTCTCAGTTTAGAAAAGGATGATGGCGTATCAAGCCGTTTTGTTATTGCGAACCGAGCCAAAAATAACGCAAGGAGCGATAGATTTATATATCCGATGCATGATCATTGCGGATCCGAAACGATAACCAGGAAATTTCGTCTGATTTGGTTTCGCTTTTCTATCACATCAATCACACACACAAAAAGAAATCAACTCGAGTAGCGGTAGGAAGCGGCCGAGCTGAAGACGAGGAGCGACAGCCTCACCGCCTGCAGGTGCAGCGTCGGGGCGCGCGGTTCAGCTCACGCATGCCCGTGGTCCGTGGAACCTTTCCATCGCGCGAGCGACGGCTTCACGGACCGCAGGAGCTTGCTACAGCTCGACAGGCGCTTGGGCACGCTGAATTGCAATATATGAGGGGGTGATATGGGTTCAGCTTGACCGGAGAATCTCTCAATCCAAGGCCTGCGAATGCAATAGCCACAATGGCCGTGTTCGGTTGGTCCAAAAATTTCAGACCAGCCGGCTGGTCCGGCTGCTTCTCCTCATATAATTGTGCAGACAAGTTTTTCCGAGACAAGCACGGGGTCAATATAATTGTACAGACAAGTATTTTCAGCATCTGACCCTACTTCTATGCTTGCTGGCTTTATCTAGTAATCCTACAATAAACTCCATGGTAGTACCAGATCACAGTTCCAACTTCCAATATAGCTTTCAAGAACAAAACTTGAATCAAATATGCAATAAGCATGTGTAAGGCATTGTGATCTGATGTATACGTGGAGCATTCGATCAATCGATCTTAAGGCAGAGCAAATACATACACGAGCTCAAATCCAGGCATGAGGCATCAAAGAGACAAAGACACACAAAATGCATATAGAAGTTCTGATGGCAATATCCATTCAAAAAAGTACAAAGACATTAAGCGTCCTCCAGACAGTAGAAAACAAGAATATATTGCTGTGATAACCCAAGCATATGGTTCACAGGCCCAATTCTCCATCATCAGTGCCTAGCAGGACAAGCTACTATCCTCAAGGCGACAAGGCCTGTGAATGCAATGGGCACAGTTGTACAAACAAGGGTTTTCAGCATCGGATCCTATTACTATACTTGCTGGCTTGATCTAGTGATCTTATAAACTCCATGGAAAGTACCAGATCACAGTAATCTAGAGTGACTTAGGTGCACTCGCAGTTCCAATCAAGCTTTCAAGAACAAAACTTGAAACAAATATGCAATAATAAGCACATTGTAAGGCATTGTAATCTGATGTAGGTGGAACATTCGATCTTAAGGCAGAGCAAATAAATATGCAAAGCTTAAATCCAGGCATGAAAGATCAAAGACACACAAAATGCATATAGAAGTTCTGATCTCAATATCCATTCAAAAAACAAGTACCGACATTAAGCATCCTCCAGACCGTGTAGCGTAGCGTATCACTAAAAAATAATAATTTTTATATGAAACGTATGGATCTAGATGAGACATACATCTTTGTATTCCATTATGTTTCCATTTGAAGTCGTCTTAGTTCCAAAATAATCAATACAAGGTTCAAATTTGTATTTGTAAATTTGGACATTGTATGGATTACCTAAGCGTCAGGATGGCTTCAAACGGGAAAATTATGAACTACAATGTTGTATATCTCGTCAATCTCTACAATTTTATATAAATTTATCTCCATGACTCCATTGGAGCTCATATGAAAAAAAAAACTTATGATTTTCTTTATAGAGATGTTATCCAAAGAAAACAATTCCACCGTTTCAATCGGTGATGAAGTTAATTCCGCCTGTTCACTAGGTTAATATCGTTTTATGAATTGTTGATGGGAGTATAGATGTGCAACGTTTTTGCAAATTACTGGGCCTATTGTGAATGTTCTTTTATCCGTGAGTTTAGAATTTTCTTCCCCTATTAGGCCTAGATAAAAATGGGCCATATTTAAGGGAGAATCTTTTGAGTTCAAACAATGTTGCAGCTCTACGTGAGACAGCCTAGGCCAAAATCGTTAAACTAAACCTAAACATGCATGGTAGCGCAAGTTTTGCGTTGATACGTTTCGCTTGGTTCACCTCGCGACATGGATGACCAGCCCACGTATAACTTTCCGTTTCACTTGCTGTCTGGCCAAAACTGGAGTCTCAGAAATTTTAATGCTTTCTTCTATGTCTGGACAGCACTTTTGTGCGTTCATCATCATGTAGTTCTAAATCATGTGCTAAAAAAACAATGTCATGATTTAATTGGATAGAAACAATGCAATGATTGCTAGTAGACAACCAGCCGTGAGAATAGTTTTTTTTCGGAAAAGCTATACAACAACCTTGAGTTCTAGCAGCTCGGGGCACCCGATTTTTTCGAGCCACGCGCCACCGCACGGCTCGCACCCCGCGCGCCACCGCGTTTGCACCGGCCCGTGCCAGCACTGCCGCCGCGCCCGCGGCTACCCGACATCTTCTCTAACTCTGGTGCCGCCCACCAAATTTTATCCTTGTCCTTTTATAGAAAAAAAATATTTCCTATGATTTGTGATTTGTGCCAAGGAAGAAAATGAACAATACCAAGGGTGGGGCGGTGGATGCCATCGGCGAGAGGAAGAAGATGAACAATACAACAGAAAAAAATCGCTTGTGCCAACAACTGAGTGTTGGATAGACTGACTTTTTTTTCTTGTGTACACTAGTAAAAATTCAACTTTCTAGTTGGTATGTTTCAGATCGAAAGAGTTCCGGTATATACTGCAGTTAAATCATTTCTCAATCTCAGAAATTAGCAAACAATTGGCAGCTTTACCATTAAATCATTGGGCTTTGCTACCGGTTACCCACTAGAAAGTAAGGGTTCTAACAAATCACAGTCCTTATTTTTTTACATGCATAAAACATTATTTACATGCAACTAAAAATGTCTAAAATGTAAAATAAAAAAATCGTGGCTAACAATTAAAGAAATAAACCACCCGAGCATGCATCACGGCCATGAACCTATGATCCAGGTCCTCGACCGGCAGCACAGAAGGCGCATGCAAGAACAAAATGTCATACATTCAAATGTGTATGTGAATGCGATTATGTTTGAAATGATTTTTCTATGAGCACTATATATGTGTGTGC